AGAACCTAGAGACAGGACTTGGCTGGAGATCCTGGATAGAACTGGCTACAGAACTTGGTTGGAGATCCTGGAGGGAGAACCTCGCCATGATGATCACCTGAACACTGCCTCCGTGTCATTCCTTCTTCGCCGACTTCGTCCACACCTTTGGGGACCCCTGGACCTGCTGGGGTTGGACCCCAGCAAAGGCTGGTTTTACCATTCACCCCCCAGTTTTAATCCCATTATTACTGTCATTCTCGCTAATTTCAGAGTCATTCACATGGGCACGAATTTTTTAAATAGCCCATTCCTTGTGTTTATTTACCCTGATAGATTTTCATATTATCGCTCCAGTGCTTATGAAATTATGTCTAGGGGTCCAGATTCTGGCATTCAGGGGTTTTCAAACTCTGATCATAATCTATTGTTCCATCCGAACAGAAAGTGCTTTTTCATTTCTGTCTTTGTTAACACTGTTTGCTCTATCTATAGTGTTTTCCCAAATCCTTTTTCTCTATCAATTTCAACTGAAATAGTATCTCATTCTTATATCTCAGTTATAACTCAGAAACAGAACCTCCATGCCTTCCTCATCCAGCAGGTTGAGTAATTAGAGTTCCCTAAAATGAGTATCAGAAAGCCTTTATAAAATGCAAAGAAAGGAAAGTCAGATTGTAACAGCTGTCAGACAATGCATATTCCTAGATGCTTTCATGCTGGTGAGTACATTTTTCTTGTGAAACATACTAGGGCATTATTTTAAAGTACTATTTTGTTTTGTTTTGCAGGTGTTGCTGTATATACCGGAATGGAAACAAAGATGGCGTTAAATTACAAGAGCAAGTCACAAAAGCGATCCGCAGTAGAAAAGTAAGAAAACTTTTCATTTATTTGCATATAAATATGACTGTGGATGTGTATATAATTCATTATGTATAATTTTTTCTGTATAAAAGTATATTTGACCTCTATATAATGTCAAATCAACACAGGATGATATCCTTGAGGATAGGGATGGTTTCTTATATTTTTGTATACATGTAGCATTTTGCACAATGTTTGGCATATAGTAGATGCCAAATTATGACTTTAAAATAAATATTATTTGGTAATAATGGAAACACTTGATCAGACTAACCCTCCTGCAGATAACAGTGGTAAAATCTGGACAAAATATTTAAAAAAAACAACAATAATTTTAAAGCTCTGGAGAGTGGCCCAAAAAAAGACAGAAACTGGCAAAGAATGTACTCTTGAAAGACAGTATCAACAAGGAGAAAAATTTAAGAATGTAGCTTTTTTCCTGAGGGCACTGTCAAATTCATGGATTGCAAAGGGCATCCGAGAGCCCAAGTCTTTACAGGATATAGGTGTGAGGACAGGGAAGAGCATCTAAAAAGGGGAAAATCTTATATAGGAGGGAGTCACAGAAGGATATGAGCTCTAAACCTGCACATAAATTATTTCCATATTCTTGGCTGACTATTAGAACTATACACGTGCAGGGGAGACCCCAGTGGGCTTGACAATGAAACAGTAACGGTATGTACCAGCAAGCTGAAAGATCTGAGCAGAGAATTTTGCTGTTGCCTGTTGCAGTGGAGATAGTGTTTGGTGTTTGAACCTAGCCAAGTTAACTTCTTGCTAAAATTAAAAACCACACTCTTTGAGGAACCTAAAAGGATACACTATGCAATAAAAAATAAGCAGACATTAAGAAAATGTAACTTTTACTCAGTAGAAAAAGCGCTCAATTTGAAACTTCCTCCATAATGATTTTGCAATTAGCAAAGACTTTACAGTATCTACACTAATAAAAGAGAAACATGGTAATTAGCGTACGACCGCTACCCTTTTCATTGGCTAATCAGTGAGTATATGCAAATTAACTGTCAGCCAAGATGGCGGCCGGCAGCCAGGCACTGAAGCGAGCAGGGAGGCTTGCTTGCTGC